CGATATTAGTAAATGTCGTATTGAATTAACGATAATACGTTGTTTCTTGCATTTAAACTTATACTAGGTACAATTATTGATGAAAATTGTTTAAATCAGCTTCGTTTCTTCGAGTATTAAAACTAATACTTAGTAGACGAAAAAAAATTTTCAGTTCAACATTTCAGGATTTTTTCTCCTTTAAGATAAATGTCCCTATTATGACAATAAATTTCATCATACTTGCTTCTTTGATTTTTTTTTTAACTGTGAGCTTTAACAGTAGAAATTTTGGTATTAGCTGATGCGCTGTAAAATTACCATTATTATTCTAATTTTTAAATATGGTTCTTACTTGTTAATGGTAGTTTTCCTACGAGTNTAAAACGTTTTACCTATTGTTTCATATTATGCTCCCGTTTATGAAACTTTTTAAAAAACGTAAATTTAGTATAATATTTTAAGACAATTAAAGCTTTTTTACTTGCATAACACTATTTTATTTAACAAAAATAATTATATCGTTTATTTGTTTACTAGAATAAATTCCTCGTTGAAGTTTGGTGCCATAATACGTACAGTTCAAAAGATAGGTTGTGTACGACTTTATCCCTATTTATGGAATTACCTCTCAAATTGGTCATTTATTGTATGTAAAATGAGATTTTTCTTGTAAATTCATAGAGATACATAAAATATACAGCTATAACAATTTTTTTATTAAGTTAGTTGTATAACAATAAATACATGAATTTTCATATTCCATGAATAGGGACATTTACCTTACTCGTTTTGCCAAGCAACATCTACTTGAGTCCAAATGACATCTTCCACAGGTGTATTTTGTTTCAACCATATTATCGCATTTAAAATCATAGGCTAGTCATGACAATTCAACCATACATTTTCCAGCTTCTCAGTGGAGAACCCGCCTCGCCCAGTATATAGGACACGCGCGCAATTTCACGCTCGTGTGTCGGTCCAGCTACTACCACTAAAACACCCGGAGCTGCACGCGCAAAGAGCAGACTCTATTAACTGCTTAACGAACCAAAATTTATCGCGTTATAAACTCCCTCCTCGCATTCCGGGGGTGTGGGCTCCTGCTCTTTTTCGAGTCGGTCGCTCGTGAAAGCCGATTTCGCGGAAACAGTCGAGCCGTTCGTTCATTCCGTTTCGTCGTCGTTTTCTCCTTTTTTTCCTCTTCCGACTCGTGCCGTTTGTTTTTATTGAATCGACGTTACCCAAGTACACGCGAGGAAGCCCCTTTTGCGTGCCGATTATTAGCGAATCGCCTTTTGTAAAGAAGCGAAATTCACACAGAAGAGAGCAATAGGCCCTTCAATCCTCGAGTCGTTGAGATTGAATGGCAAAATTGTTTTACCAATCTCTCTCTCAGGGGCTGGTTTTGGGTTATCGACGATTTACCATTATTTTGAAACTTTTTCCCTTTCGGTTGATCATGTACAGCTTTTAATCCACTTCACATGTAGACCGACTAATTTTTACTTGTCAATCAGATGGTGTATTATTTTAGTTTTTCCCCTTTTTTTTCTAAGCAAGCGAGTGGCGTGACTTTAGCAATTTACTAAATTGTACCTATATAACATATTTTTGAACTAGCCATAACAAACAACTAATTTTTTTTTTCCTCCTTTGAATGACTGAATAATTCGAAGAAAAAAGTTTCCAAGGAAAAGAAATAGGTAGTCAGAAAAAGTCATGTTAAACATAAATTTTAGGATAGAAAACACCCCAGATCTACCCCAGACAAATCAAAACTGATAAAACCCACGAGAGCCCAAAATTTCACATTAATCCCCAACAACTGTTTATTGAGCGGTAAAAGTATCAAAAGTTTGAATCAGATAATAGATCCCTTGTTTTAGCTCGCTCGAACAACTTCAAAGTTTCCAAAATCAAACACACGATCAAGTTCCAAAAAAAAAAAACAAAAAGAAAAAAGAAGGAAAACAATTTCACGCCCTAATCACCCGAAAGCCCGTGTCACAGTGACACAGATACCCCGATGGAGCCCGGCAAGTGGATAAGATCGGCGTACAGGCAGGCGCGCAGTGGGTAAACAGATAACATCGCGCGCGCGTATACAACAGCACGGGAGCCAATCTCGCGTACTCGCGTGCACACGCGGAAGGAAACAGAGGCGGGGGAGCGCGTCCTTTGAAATTAGCCCGACGAAATCTCGGGAGCTCACGCGAATGACGGACCCCCTCCTCGCGAGGGTAGGTGTAAAATTTAATATCGGCTACACCTTCGGAGCGATTGCGCCGCGAGGGCGTGTCAATTACCTCCGGCGCACCTGCGCGTATACCTTTCTGTACGCGAGGGTATTGAAGCTCGAGCTGGTGTACAGTTTTTGGAGGCTAGAGAAAGGATCGGCAGAGCAGTTTTGACGGGCCGAGATCCTTTGTAGGCGCGCGAGCATAATTAAAATTTTCCAATTAAGAATTTTGATAAGCAAGATCCTTACTTTCGAGTCTGTCGCTCACTCGAGGAGTTTATCAATTTTTCCTCCCTGCCTTCCTTCCTCCTCTCCGTCTCCCTTCCAATTGATTTGAAGCAGATTTTGGCACGATTATTTTATGGATTTTTAAACACTTTCAATAAAAATGTTTTATTCATCATTAACAATATAATGTGGAAGAAAATTTATTGAAGTTTTTTTTAAAAACAATTTTTCCTTTCAAACTTCAATGCGATTGTTTACACTAGAAAAAGTTTTTTTACTTAGCACTGTGCCACAAGTGATGATTAGAAAAAAATCCTTTTCAGCGTAAGTAACGCAATAAACGCTGAGCGAAAATTTATTTAAAATAATGAAAAAAGTATCCGTACTCAGAAGAGTACGAGTAGGGTAGAAGTATTTTGTTATACATTCCTCCACTTGGAAAACCCTTTCGCGTTGGCCGAGTCCGTGCACTCCCCCGATCCAAATAGACAAGCATCCTCTACAGTTGAAACGAGGTCACTACCCAACTCTTACCACAAATTAACGCTCATGTGTACGTTTTCTTCACTAACTCGTCAGTGATCCCGTGACTCGCGATTACGTTGCGTGCAGGAAGCGCAAGGATATAACCCCATTCTCAGTTTTACCGAGAGAGAGAGAACATCCCACCGCGTGCAGACACGGCTTGTTGCGAGCTTTCGAAAGCTCGTCGAGAATTACCAAGCTCTTTTAAACGGCAGGCGAGCAGCACTCGTAACTCAGCTGATGATTAATTAAGCCCGCAAGTGCTGCAACTCCCCGTAAGGCTCGCTTGTACAGCGATGGAAACTGCGCCCATGAATGGAGCGAGAGGGCCCTCTCTCCCTTTGTCCGTTCCCGAGGAAATTTCGCGCGGCCTCGGGCTCTCTCCGCGCTTGTTCTTTGCGAGGAGGGATCCAACTCTTTCGTAAAACACTGGGGTGGAAAAAAAAAAAAAAATTAGCAACAACCCTCCACTGCGCTGTACCATAACCCCTTGACGCTCAAAGTTATGGCCGCGTAGCAACGGACCCGCTGCACGGGCGTACAATGCACCCAGCGAACACTCGCCCCGGGAATTTCAGGCGCGCGATCGTTGAGGCTGCTGTCAGAACAAGCTGGATTACCTCGCTCGTGCGATGGCCTATCGGACGCGCTATGCATATGATGCGGCTGTTGCTTTGCGCGCGGCTGTGATTACTTGAATTTGTGTTGATGAAATGTGCCGGGGCGTTGGTTCAGTTCAACTGTTTCGACAGCACTGCCGATTTCAATGGGGTTTTTTTTTTTTTTTTTTTTTTTTTTTTCATGGAAACGATTAGCAAATAGTACATACACTCCACAAATTTATTTCACAGCGCACTGAGAGGAAAAAATAGTAATAATTACTGTGCTATAACGGTAATCTGGTGTCATTCCGTCATCTAAGGACTTTTTACTTTTGCCAACCTAAAAATAAAAATCACTGTAAAACCTTACCATAAAAATTACTCATCCAAACAATAAAAATTATTGTTCAAACAGTAAAAAGTCTCTAGACGACCGAGTAGTACCAAATTACCTTCATAGCACAGTACTTGCTAGTCAGTGCGCATTAGGTTTACCAAGAGATGTTTTGCATGAATCGTAGCTATCCTGCTCTCTAGAGATGCTGCTCTGTTTTTCATAAAAGTTAGTACGTAAAGTGTGATGTGCGGAAGCAATTGTCCTGCAGAGAAATTTCTGGCATATCTATCAAAGCTACCAAAGCCCGGCTTGTTTAAATTCCCATCAGCGGTACACACTCGTTTCCAAAGCGTGGGACCCCGCGTTCGCATCGGAGATACTCAGTATAGCGTATCGAGTGAGTATAAGAGGGTACGTGTGGCTTTCGGATTAACCCAGGGAGGGGGGGAGGGAAGCGCGTATTTGAAATTCCTGCGTTTCGAGGATACGAGAGACAGCCGATTATTCCCGCGGCGTTGTAAGTTAGGAGCCACCCCCCCCTCCTCCCTCTTGACGGAACACCAAGTGCCCTAAGCTCTCGAGTCGAGCCTCGTGGAGAGCTGAAGTTTAGCTTATCGCGAAATTCTCGGGCTGCCGCGCGGAGAGTGTCTTTGGGGGCTATACCTACGATAACCAAGTTTTCCGCGTTTCATTGTTGTTATGCTGTTTAATAGCGTCATATGAAGCTTAAACGTACTTGGACTTGTACTCGGTGGACGGAAGCACGTGACCTACGGATGGCTATTACGGAATCACCTTGAAATCCATTTATGTCACCCGACTCTGGTTACATCGATTTTTCGCGCGTTAACTAACTGTTGTTTTTTTCCATTTTATTTTACACTTCAGCAGAAAAAAATGGTTGTTTACATTACCAAAAACGGCGATTAAATCCCGTAACCAATAGACGGATGAACGGATGGTCGTTAATCACTCGTGTACAAAAACTACAGGTAGGATCGGAAACCGATAGTCGCTTGTTTAACCTATCCCTGGTCGAAAAAACTCACCCAAGTATCTCTCTCTACTGGCATAAAAAAAAAAAAAGATGGAAATCCTAAAGGGAAATTTCCTCGTGAACGCTAACGAGGAGACCGTGATAGCGAACGAGATAATCCGTTCGAGCGAGATGATCGGGTTGTACTTCTCAGCGTCGTGGTGCCCACCCTGTCGGAGTCTCCTGCCGCTGCTAAAGGCCACTTACAAGGAGGCGCGCTCGCGGGGCGCCAAGCTCGAGGTGGTGTTCGTCCCCTCGGACTCGGATGATCAGCAGATGATGCGCTTTTTCGTCGACAATCACGGGCCCTGGTAAGTGTCTTTAATTTCCGTCGAGAGACACGCGTGTAGCAGCGGCGGATCTAATGGACGAGGGTCTCTTGATCCGGAAAAAAAGGTTCGCTGTGCCGGTGGGACCGCTGACTGCGGCTGTGAGGAGGAAGATGCAGATCCACGCCATACCCCAACTCGTCGTCGTCAACAACCGAGGCGAGGTTGTGAGGAGAAACGGCAGGGCGGACTTGGAGGGCCACGAGGACCCGCTCTCGCTGTGGTTTCCAAGATTGAATCGCGGAGCTGCCGGCGAAAATTAGTGCGGCAAAACCAAGACGTTTTTGTACGCTAATAAAGACCCGGTGTGTACCTCCTCTTTTGCTTCTGTTGTACTCCAATAGGTTATGTTGGATAAAGAGATAAAAAACAATTTTTAAAAACATCTTCCAATGAGCCACAGTACCTCGATGGCAAACCTACCACGAGGTTGGAACCACTTTAGCTTGACGTCTCGGTGTACGCGGACGAGGAACAGAAAAAAGGTTTCTAAACCTGATTTTCTAATTAGCGAATTTCTCTCGGCTCTGCTGTACCTTTGGACGCAGTGAAACTTTGCAAGTGGTATATAATACGACGCACCGCGAGGGGATAATTAATTAGATAGCGCGGGGGGGGGGAGGGAGAGAGAAGCTCGAGGAGCGATGATTGCACGCGCGTGACGTCAATAAGTCTGCCCTGTGAATTTGCGAAGCTTATCGGCCGGACGAGCTTATGCGTGTCGTATAATGAAAATGTAGGGCGGGGGTGGGGGAAACGCACACGCGAGCGATTACTGTGCTTTACGGTTACGGGGAAAGTTTTTCAGGTACGCCGGAACAACGCTTAATTAATTATGGAAATGAGCCCACCCCCTATCCCTCCCTTGATCCTGGGCTTGGTGGAACGCAGGATCTCGATATGAGGCGCTTGGTGCATATTCAACTGGGCCGGGAGTTGCGTTATAACGTGGGATCATTATCTCATGGTTTTTGAAGTCCTTTGGATTTATCGTAAGGAGGTTGTTCACAGAGGACAAAATGTTGGGTTGTTTATTGCAAGCTGTAGTTATACGTGCACTAGCTCGTGACCTGTCGTATAATTTTTTTTCTTTTTTCTTTTTTTTTTTGGAAAACCACGTGTTTCACATTTCATCACTAGATTTTTGTATGATACCATCACTCTCTAGAGCCCATTGATTTTAAAGCCATTCGAATATTGTACATTTATGCATCGTGAATTCGTACGACCGTGCGTAGTGTGCGAGTGACTTTTCAAAAGCTGTCTCGCGCGATCAGTCTGACCATTCGTTGACTCGTACTCCTGAATTTCTATTATGTCGGTGATTAAAACGCGATTAACTTCGCGATTTATTTGTGTGGGCGTATTCGACATTTAAGCGAGCTAAATTTTGTTTCTGTAAAAAATTTTCAAAGTTTCAACACGTTTTAAGCTTTTTTAAATTAAATGGGGGTACTTGGGATCAAAGAGCTGGTAGTTGGAAAATCGGGTCGATCCGGCTAGAATTTTTTTTCGAAAGTCTCGCAGCTCCAACATTTGTTTTTCCAACTCAACAATCCTTGAAATTAAAATCCCCCCTCCGGCGGATGCGCTTCGTTCCCAGCAAAAGCCCCAAAAACCAAACTTGCGGCATCCGGTGGAACGATGTTTCCTCGAAATTCCAACGCGGGCTTCCACCCATCCACGCTAATTACTTCTTTCGATCGGTTAATTGAAATCTCAAACGGCGGGACAACACAAGCGCAGGCGGCTCCGAAAAATCCCGCTAATGATCGGATTTCCCGCGGGCGATATTCGGTTTCGATATTTAATTGGAAACCGCGTTCAAAGAGCTCCTCTGCCGCGGAGTCGAAGTAAAACAAACAAACGAAAAAACGGCCTCGGTCGAAAACGCGGGTATATATATATGCCTGCCACTCGTACATTTGGCTCGAGGAAAAATCGAAAAACAAAGCGAGCGCGTCAATTATACGAAGCGACACACAAACAGCTCGAGCCATGCCAATGACGCCCCATCGCGTCCAGGTGGAAAATAATGACAACGGGGACGACCGTCCGAGGAAGTTTTTCCTACGCCTCGTTATCCCCCTTGGGACATTACTGCTTTTGAGGCCGCCTCCGTCCATCTCGACTCAGCGCTTTCTTTTACACGGGAAGCCGTTTTCTCTCTATTGTTACTTGACGAGCGCTGCTCCGAATAGATCGACCAGTGTTTGCTTTTCAATCGAAATTTTGTCTTTTTTTTTTGCTCCAACTTTTGCACACGAGCATTAAATTCATAATGACGGGTGAAAAAGTTGGAATCGCGTGCTCGTACAATTTGTATGAAATTTCAATCCGGAGTCGTACAGATGGACACATTTTAATTCACATATCAGCAAAAGTGTGTATATACTCTCGGCTGACAGGTGGAGGTGAATTTGGAGTATTTCGCGTTGGAGCGGCTTTTGTTGAAAAGCACGACGGGAGTGTTTTAAAAAACGACAGGAGGATACTGTATATGCTTCCGTGCTCTGCTGTGCATTATTATTGTGTTGTTATTAATAAAGCAGGGAATTAAAATAATTAAGCTTCGCTTTCGAGGTAAAATCATCGATGGAGCGAATGGGTCAAACGAAATCGCATTCATGTTACTGTCCGATGATGAAATATTTTAAACGTGCTCTTTACTTGCTCAGCTTAACTATTTTTAAATCATTTTTTTAATTCATCAATAAATGCGTATGATTAGTTAGATTAATGGTACGTTTGTATGAAGTGGGTATAGTTTTGCTTGAAAAGTACAGTGAAGAGGTGCTAATTAAAAAATGATTCATAAAAATGTACAAATTACATTTCACACGGTAGATTATTAAAGAATATTGTTTTCCAGTAATTTTATTTTTTCAGAAGAAGAAAAACTGACGAATACGGAGTGTATTTGTGTTACGCGTGACGTTATACCGGGTATGTCAATTTTAAATCGGATATGACGTTACACGTTCATGTTCAGGTGTATTTTTTTTGTTCTATAATTTATCCGAGGCATCTGGGTATTAAAATCAATAGTTTTCTCTCTTTATCAGATCTAAAAAGAGATGAACTTAATCTTATCCCATAAAAGTCACTTTGAGCTATTTAGCTCTGAAACAAGAAAGAAAACTTTTTTTCTAACTGATCCAGAGTTGGTTAATCCGAACAAGTAATTTTAGATAAATACCTGCAATAAAAAATTTCCAACTAACCAGCTTCTGCTGCATGATCGATCTAGTTTCGTGCCCAAAAACCCTTATACGACGATTAACATTGCCCACATTACCCTTGCACTGTCACGAGATATATATCCTGTGTAAGGACTTACAGGTGGTGTTTGCAACAGTCGCTTAATTTATTAATTTTTTTCACGAGAGGACAGCCACTCTGTTCCATAATTTTCCTTCAAAAACTATGAACCTCGCGTGGTATATTTTTTCCTCGCCCCAACGCGTCTTCCCAACTTTCAAAGATTATGGGCACTCCTCTGCGCAGTGTCTTTCAAGACAACGAGAGCTCGCGTTTCTCTCCCCCGCGCCTCGTATGCTAATTAACCCGGGGCACACGCGTCTACCGAGCAGAACACCGGCTCTCGCGCTCACGAGTCCTTAAACTCCCTCTCCTCGATCCTTATGCGCCCTGACGCGCCTTCCCTACGATGTTTTCCCGGAAAACTCGCTCGAGCATATACTCAGCTACAGCTCGCGTCGTTAAACTCGCCCGAGCCCGCGGGCGACTCGCACAATGTACATCGAGGGTATACATATCTTTGCTCTCGGATGGAATTACAAATAACGTGGGACCAGAGACTTTTGAAGATTCGTTTAAAGTTTTTTTTTTTTTTTTTCTTTTCACAAGATGCCCCTTTATTTGCAGTTGATGGGCTCGTGTTTTTGTTCCAATTATCGTCCACGAGGGCGTATTCCTTGGTCGCTGTCGCGATGAATTGGTCGTCAAGTTTACAGTTTGTGTGTTGTGCTGTGACAGAAAAACTAATTTCCCTTTGAAGAATAAAAGGAAATTTTGTTTTCTGGAAAGTGAGTTTTTGTTTTTTAAATTTGCTTGTGGAACTTGTTCATTCAGATAAAGGTGAAAATACCGATGGTTAGGAACTTATTGTCTTTTCACCAAAGTGAGGGTCCATCGATTAAAACTCCTCAGAGGATCAACCCACATAGTATATTGTGCTCGTGAAAGGAATATAGGTAAAGGAACAGTGAAGTGAGGATTGACCTCAGATTGAGCCTAACTAAGAATTGAGGGGTTTTTAAACTTTTCTCTCGATCTTTACACTTACACGCCCCAACGTGATTCTACAACGTTGTTATCGGTTCACTCTGCTGTATCAGTATTGGAGCTAGATGCACAACATCCGTCAAGGGAAATTTTTCCTGTGGAGAGTGTTTCATAGCTTGAAGACTAGGAGTTTAGATGAACCATCAAAGTTTGAGTCTTTTTTATGCATCGCTTGACTTGGGGTTCCAAGAGTAAATTGGTACAAAAAGGATGCTGCTGTAGGTATGTCTACTATTTACCTCTATGGAGCTCACCTTCAGTAATCAGAACTATGGATAACTTGAATCTGAACAATTGGGTTCTCGCTATTTCTCACCACTTATGGTGTGTGAAAATCCATCGCACACATGTGCACATACGTTTATCGTGGCCCGTGCACGCAATCTTCCCAACAGATCCAAGAATGTCCATTGTTCGCCCTCCACAGGTGCGTAATACACGTCACGTCACTTTGGTCCATTTAATTTTTACCAAGTCAAAAGCACGGGGCGGAATATACGTAAAACACGGCGACCGAAAACGAAGGAGGAGCGAAAAGAGGAGGGAATAATTAGCGATTTCGCCTTTCAGCCGGCGAGCAACAAGCGCACCTCGTCAGTGTCGAAAACTGCCACGGCCACCCCCACCCCACCCCACGGTACAACAGTTTTCGTGAAAGGGAGGTATATATTGTGTGTACATGTATAGAGAGGGAGGGGGAGGAACACTGCAATCGAGCAAATGGACGCGGCACCGCCCGCGGGCTCAACAATGGCGCGATCAACAATTCCGTTTGACGAGCAATTAGATGCGCGCTTTTTCGAGCACGGCCTACACCGAATAGCCCGGGGCATCCCCTCCACCCCTTACGTACCTTTTTCCCCGTGTGTGCACACATACACGCGCGTGCACACTTGGTCCGCGCGTTGTTGATTTTTAGGGGACGGTATATGTACGCGGCTCTATTGAATATCCG